AATTCTGGAGTTTATTTGGCATAAAGTAGAGCAGCCCAAGACACATTCCAGCCTTGTTCTTAAACTAGAGAAGTTAGCAGACCTCTACTTTAACTAATTCACTCTAGACATTAAAAAAAAAATAGCCAATGTTTATTATCTTGGTTCTTACATTTCTCATACTAAGTACATCTAGTTACACTCTGGCTCCTGCATGAATGAAGTCAGTTCCTCAGGAGTTCGGAGGTAGGCTGCCTGGCTTGAAGTCCTAGCCCTTCCCTCACCAGCTCTGGGGTTTGGGATACCATCATTGACTTGCTATAGACCTTGGACAAAATCCTCACATTTCTGAGGCCCCTTCTAGTTTTTTAGTGCGTGGGTGGGTAGGTGGGTGGTTGGTTGGTTGGTTGGTTGGTTAGTTGGTTGGTTGGTTTGCGGAGCTATTAATGTCTTTCAAATTTATGCACTTACAACTCTTCAGTGAGTTTCTTTTCTAAAATTCTTAACAAAAAAACTATAACTATCTAATCTTTAACTATAACTACAACTATCTAATCTTCAATTCCCTCAGAGACCCAAGAAGGAAATAATATTACCTAAAAACATAAAAACAGGAAGTGCACGCAAGCGGCTTCCAAAAAAGTTGTGAGTTGACAGAAACAGTCAGCTGCCTGAGGTTTCTCCGCAGTGTTGGGGCATCATCTTCAGCCTATAGGCTTAGCGTATCTGACAGACTCATTTGTGAAGTAGGATGTACACAAGGTCAACAGTTCAACCTCACATTTGGTAAGAGTAGTCTATGTACCAGAAACACCTGAATTCCACTAGTGTCCTGTCATGATTCAGGATTTTAAATTCTGGAAATTGTTGATGGTTTTTGAATTCAGCTGTCCATTCTTCTTGACTTGTGTGTGTGGCTTCATCTTGGCATCCTGTTCTTCTTTGCATCCCTCTATTAACTGCCAGTCTACCATTGAGAGGTTAGACTCTGTCAGCTTAGTTACTCTTTCAAGAATAGCTGTTCCACTGCACATCAGAAGCCATCAGTCTTTTAACTCTTAAAAAAAAAAAAAAAACAGGGGAAGCAATGACAGTGAGTGATAAGATAAGGTAGTCTTAGCTCTTTGCTGCTGCTCCATCTCTGGGCTTTTAACTCTTTATTTGGCTCTGTGTTTCTTATTTAATAAGACCACTTAGAATTACATCTATAGGTGTGGATTGAATTATATCCTTCAGATCATTGATCTTTTCTGTAAGAGAGAAAACAACAACTTGAGATTTTCATGTGACATTTTACCCATTTCAGTTGAGTGGTGGTCTTTTGGAAGAGTTACAGAAGGGGTCAGTCCCAGGTTTGGGCACCAAAATGTAAGTGTTACAGCTCTGTGGGAAAAGGTATCCTGGCCATCAGAAGCCAGGCAATACCTACAGCTTGGAAGGGAAAGGTATCTTGGCTGTTGGAAGCCAGGTTATACCTGCAGGTGTCACAGCTCTGAAAGAAAGAGTATCCTGGCACACCTGTGTGGCTTTTGTAGTAAAAGTAAGCAAAGCCGGGAGCTCCATAGTGGCACTTACCCAGCAGAAGTGGAGAGACAAGTGGTTAGAGCAGGTAGAGGAGAAAACAGCTGGAGAAGTGCGAGTGTCTTAGTGAGTTAGAGCTGCACACAGAGTGGGGCCTGATGGCATTGCAGGGAGTGTGCCCGTGTGGTGGGCAGCCCACAGGGCGTAGAAGATTCTTAAATGGTCAGAGATAAGAGGCTTAAGTCCCCTGAGGCTATAGAAAGAGAATAGGTATTGAGCCTGGGTGATATATTGGGGGGGGGGGTTGATGAGGCTGGTAAAGCTGTCCCCTACTCTGACAATAGGGGAACAAGAAGATGTGGGTCCCCAAAATTCTATCAGTACTAAACAGGTAGCCCCAGTGTCCAGAAGGAGAGAGATAGATCTCCCTGATACTGTGATGTCTACCTGAGGCTCCCAGGGAGAGATGGCAGTGGTCAGGCCAAGGGAGCTCAGGCCCCCTCAGTCATCCATGACCAGATCTAGGAGGTTGGCTGAAGGGCGCCCTGGGCTTGATGTCCTCACACCACGAGGGACATAGGGACAGTCAACACCCCAATGCCCTTCTTGATGGCAACTTGGACATTATCTGGGTGGTATATGAGGGATCAGAGAGGCCCAGGCCCAGTGACCCTCCTGACTGCATGTGAAACAGGGACCCAAAGGTTCTCAGGCTTTGGGAGGCCAGGGAGCCTGGGCAGTTGCTACAACCAGTTGAAAGGCCTTTGCTGCACCAGGTATTTTTGTTTGGGGCTTTTTCGTCTCTCCCATAGTACACCTTAGAGCCCTGGCCAAAGCTTCTACCTGTGGAGTCAGGGGTCCTTTCTCCAGACATCTAAGCTTGGCCCTAATATCAGGGAAACTCCAGGAGAAGAAGCAGGTCATATAGAGTTGTTTTCCATCTGGGGTCTCGGGATCCAGATTGGTATATTGTAAGAGGGTCTTTGTGAGACGGTCTAGGAATTGAGATGGGTTATCCTGGATAACCTCTTGGATCGTTTTCATAATTTACCACTTGAAGTGTGGCCAGCCAGGAGGCAAGTTACAAACTGATCCCTAGCAAGGATGCCCCCTGGGTACTGTAATTCTATCCAGGGTCCTCCCAGTTAGGCACTGCCTCAGCCCTAACTGGGTGGCCAGCCTGTCTCTGAGAAGGGAGAAAGGGAAACCAGAGAGGCTGGAGAGGAAGATAAGGGACTGCGGGATAGGGATTCACAAAATGCCCGGCGGACCTAGACACTTCCGCCTAGCCATTTCCCAGTCAAACACTTCTCACGTGACCAGGACCCCGTGGCTTTGCATGGTTGCATAAAGCACAGCGCAACCATGTGATCTACGCCCATACGTGGAATAGCCACATGGCCCTGTGTGAGCAGGCGCGGCCCAGCCTTTATAAGCCGGCGCTGTATTCCCGGCTCCATCTTTATTCACGTGTTTTTTTCACAGGCCTATCACGTCTGTCTCTCTTTTCTATCTTAATAAAACTCTTGTTAGTGGATTCTGTCATGTTTTGTGACATTTCCTCGCAGGGTAAGAGTGCCACAAATAACTAACACTGTGGGTTGAGGCTTATGAATGTGATCAAAAATAGAGGAAGAATCATCTGGCTTGGGCCTCACGGCTGGGAGGAGTTGGTTTTCCTTGGATGGCTTGTATCATATGGTCACTTGTATCAAGATTGGAGTGAGGTCACATGGCAAAGTCCATCCTTTCCAACCCTAGCAAAGATGGAATTCAGCCACATGGCCACCTCCATCCCAGTGGGGGCTCGGCAGCTAAGGGGGCAGCAAGCCCCATGTTTCCTCTAGGTGTACCAATGTATAGATTTTTAACTATCATTCCTGGTGTTATGAGTTTTAAATTAACCCTTTTGTTACAGATTTTACAGGGTTTAATCAGACCCAATCTTGAGGTACAGAAAGTTTACACAACAGTTTTACAAATCTTGAGATAAGATTTACACCTTAGCAAAAATTTTAGAGAGTTAAACCAAAACCAACAGAGTATGAGGTGAGTGGCAATTGTCTCTATTGGGAATAGTCTGTCCCTTTATTTTGTTTTGTTCTCCTTTCTCTGTCACACAGCAGGTGGCTGGCCTGATATGGGACAGAGACTTTGGAAGAAACCTTTAAACAAGCATGCTTGGGTCTAGAAGAGGGGCAAGTCATACCCTAACTCCAGGACCAGATTTTAGTTCAAGTGGGACAGCATCAAACAAGTCTAATGCCGCTCATCCCTAAAAGACACCTGAATCCCTGTAAAACTGACTCTAGTAGGCTGAGAACAAAGAAGGCTTAGACATGGGAAATTCTTAAGTCCTGGCTGTAGAGAGCAGATGCTGCAGGAGGGAGCTGAGGGGGGAAGTGCCTGCCCCGGAAGAGTGTGTGCAAGGTGGTGCATGTTGCATCCGCCTACTCCTTTGCTTTCTCCTCCTTTTCGTAAAACAGCATAGGAGGCCTTGGCGGGTGGAGCCAAGGTGCCCCTCAGCGGTGACGCCATGCAGACACAGCAGGCAGCGGCCAAGGGGGCACAGGGGGGGGGGAGAGAGAAAGAGAAAATGGGCAGGGTCTGAGGAGAGGAGAAGAAGAGAAAGAGAACAGGAAAGAAAAAGAAGGGAGGAGGTGTGCTCTACATTGTGGAGAGAGAGGAAGGAAGAGAGAGAAGTGGGAGGGGTTTTCTCTTAGAAGGGACTTTACATAAGATGATGTTGTCAAGGCGCTGGGCGGGCCAGGGGTGGGTCTGAATGCTAACACTCCTGCTAGGTCTCCATCCTAGTTCCACTTTGGAACAGACTTACAGATCCATCTCATCTATGGTAACTTAAAAGACAGGACATTTACACATTCCTGTGGGGGGGGGAGGGGGAGGTGGGACTAAACAAAAACAAACCGGCCTCGAGCAGAGAAATAGGGAATGGGGATCTCTTTCCATTTTCCCGATTGCTCATAGTATTTGTAAAGGTCCCAAAAAATATTAGGATCTAAGGTGTCATTAGGTGGCCCTTTGAATTGATTATCTAAGGGGTATTGAAGCCAAATTTTATTGCAAAAGTGAGTAAATTTGGGGCCCTTCAGGTCAGGTTGTCAGGTGGAGAGGCTGAAGGTTTTCTAAAAGGCATCCCAAGGGGGAACGAGAGGATATAGAAGACACGTTCCCATGGATGAGAGAAAAGGAAAATGTCACTGCAGCCTGTCGTCGTCGTGGGCGTCCCCAGGACTCAGGGAGGACCAAATGAGGACCAAGCCATTCAGTGGGTCACCACCACACTCGGGGGCTTAGCCTGGTACCAGGGCTTTCACCAGGGCGAGAACGAAAATTGAGCTCTAGGGAGAGGGTCTCATCCACAGGAAAGGGCTAGTGAAAGGAGTCACAGAAGCCAGGAGGGCCTAGAGGAGCTGTGGATTATGGGAGCTCCAGGGGAAGATGGGAGGAGAGGGCAGGAAGGGGCGCAGTAACACAGTTGGGACTAAAGAAACTACCGGATTGCAGCCCCAAGGGTGGGGGAATGGAGTCAGGTAAAGAGGGCTAGCCACAGCCTTAAAGACCATGGCTGGGGATACCTCCCCATCCAAGAGTATCAGAGGGGATCTGGACACTCAGCGGTCACTTCATCAGACTCAGGGAAACGTTTTCACCGACCAAAGAGAAAACTTACCCAATTGATGCTGGTGGATGGGGTGCTGAGTGATCGGTGAGCCAGAAGGTAAGTCTGTTGTGGGTGGACTAGAGATGAGGGATAGGGTCCCAGAGCAGCTTAGGCTATGAGGGGAAAGGCAGGCACTAGGAGAGCCTATCTGACACCAAATGTAAACGTAACCGTTCAGATGGAAAGGTATACCGGCAGCAGGGAGCCAAGGAATACTACAAAGTCACACAGCACAACAAACCTCAGACGAGAGACTTATGGGGAGGGGGAAAAAACAGGTTTATGGTTGCCTCTGCTTGGGCGAGAAACAGCAGCAAACCCAACAGGGTACAGAGCTTATGTAGAGTTTCTTGGGAAGGGGTGGAACTTTTCAGGGTGGAGCTTTCCAAGGTGGAGATTGGTGGGATTTCGTGTCCAGAGATTAGCTTTTTACTCTGTAGGGTGGGGCAGGGTCCAGCAGTTAGGGCAGCTATTCTGTGGGTGGAGCCTGGCAGTTAGAGGTGCTGGAGGAGGGACTACCTGTGGCTCGGGGGGGAGGGGGGGGGGACTTACAGACATTCCACAGAGTGAAAAGAAAAACTAAGGGATGGGGGAACATAGTCTGTGAAATATATATTTATGTAACATAAAGTGATCTTGGAAACATGTAAGCAACTCTTCAAGTTTCCGGGGTTGAGAGATGGCTCCTCGGTAAGATGGCTGCTGGGCCTGGGGCTGTCCCAGCACCCATGTAGAGTCGAGCCCAGCAGCCTGCTTCTTTGAGCCCTGTTCTGAGCAGGAGACGCAGGAGGATTCCCTGGGCTCCCTGGCTAGCTGCTCAAGATGATTCAGTGAGCTCCACAGTCAGTGAAAGATCCTGTCCCAAATATAAGATGTGGAGCAGCTGAGGAAGACACCCAACATCAACCTATGGCCTTCACATACATTCACACACCCATGCGCGCGCGCGCGCGCGCGCGCGCACACACACACACACACACACACACACGTATAGACAAAGTAAAATTAAAAGTTGTTTAAAGTGGTCTAAGGGACTTGTGTAGACATTTCTCAGAGGACATATTTATAATGCTGGGAAGAAGTTGATGATGTGAAAAAGAACTTTCTCTGCATGGTTCTCCTCTTCAGGAGCCTTGGCAGAGTCATTCAAGGCTGACCACATCCTCAGGGTTCCAAGCCCAGGAGTCCTGGCAAACACTCCTGAAGGCAGCTTCCTGTCAGCTCTGTAAGAAAGGTCAGTCTCACAGATCTACAATAAAGAAGTGCCACTCCCATCACCAAAGTCCTGCCGGGCACTGGAATCTGTTTCAGAGCTCCTGGCACCCGCAGCATGGCAGCCTCAGAACCAACGGGGCAAGAGGGAGTCCCCCTCTCCTGTGCCAGAGAGATGTGGAAGGAAGTGACTGGAACTACAAGAGGCGAAGCCTGCCAGTGGCCTAACAAGAACACATTTCAGTCACAAAGAACCCCTGGAAGAGACAAGTCACTTTAGTGAGAAGTGAAAGAATGTGTGTGGAAGCAGAGAGATGGCAATGGTAAGTTTGTCTTGTGGAACTATCAAATACGGGTAAAGATCAGAAAGGGAACCTGAGCAGACATAAGGGGAATTGTTTAGGAAACAAGAAAGTACACTTTTTCAAATCATCAGCTTCCATTGAAAATGCTGATATCTGGGAGTATTTGTAGAGGAAAATGACTGGGAAAATCATAGCTATATCCTCCGCTAAGGGTTTCTTTGGAGCCCAGCAAGGATGCAGCGGCATTTTCTCTCTTATCCCAGTGGTGCCTTCCTGAATGTGGCTTTCTGAGAAAAGAGGAGTGCTGTGAAGACAGACAAGCTGCTCCCCCTGCACTAGAAAAGCTTCACAAACTCCCACACAACTCTAAACGTCAGGCCACACTGAGCATACCAGAGAGAAGGGCCCCACCCAGATGGGAGTCACAGAGCGCTTTTCCATTTCACTTACGGTGACTCAAATGGATGCCATACAACTAAGAAGCAGAAGGGGGCAGGGGTCCTGATGCACCCCTGTATGCAACATATGGAACAAGTTACTGAAGACAGGGGTCCTAGCAGGGTCTGTTAAAGCTGAGCTGGGGGATAGCACAGGGAAGACTGGGGGTGTGGTGGAAAAAAATAGCAAAATGGGATTAAGATAAAACAAAGCAGAAGAGAAATATTGGGCCTGGTAAACTTTCACCTTCCCTAAAATGATTGATGGGCTTATAAAGAGCTACACTGGGCTTGATTTCTAGGGGTGAGGTTGCTGGTGAACCTGCATGAATCCATCACTCCTGCAGAAGTCCTGGACAAAGCTATTGTCACGGGTAGAGACAATACTGGTATTCACACTGATGAGCTCCAGGACTTAGGTGGGGCCAACCACTGCTAACTCTTACATGGGAGCACATGACGGAGCATCGAAGGAAAGGGAGAGGAACAGGAAGGGCAGAAGAGGGAAATACAAGGGAAAGTGACTCACTTTTTGCAATGCTCTATCTAGTCTTTTATCTTTGGTTTAGACAAAATAACCACAGTGCTTCATCATGGCTTGTTGGCATCAGAAGCCAAAGGGGAGTCAACTGTGACTGAAAGCCCTATGAGAACTAAGCAAGATCAAACTGATGCGTTTCATAACCATTTGGCCTACAAAGGGTTGAATGGCACAAAAACAGGAAACAGCCTGTCAAGCCCATGTTGGCATATCTACTGGTCCTGGGGGAGGCAGGCGCTAGGCTCTTTCAGGAGGTAAAAGTGTGAAACCATGTGTCAGGTAGCATGACTTTGCCTGGCAGAGGGGGGGGGGCGGGACAGATATCTATTCACTCTACATTGGGAGCCCACAACCGCCCAACATATGAATTCCACCAAAGTCCAGTTTGGTGAACCATAATTTTCATTGGTGTTACTTACAAAAATATATAGGTTAGGGGTTACTTGTAAGAGCAGAAATGACTCACAGACAGCTGCATCACCAAGTCCATGCCATTAAGTGACAGCTCACACAAGCTGAGAACCTGGAGCACAGCCTGCGGGCAGCTGGACAGGTTGGAGAATGTCCTTTCCAAGTGACTCGATTGGTCCAAAACTCTTCCAGGCTGTTAAGCTGATCTCTGCTTCTTCCAGGCAACTTGTCTGGTCTCAGAATCTTCTCCACAGCACAGCTTGTCTGAGAGTGACTCCCGGAAGTCTTCAATGTTTACTCTTGGGAAGAAGGGACCTAGTGAGTCTGATCAGCCTCAGGGACTTCCTGAAGCTGTTTGGAGTATTTACTTTGTATGTTAAAGAGCTTCCCTGCAGGATGGAATGTTTCAATCTCAGTGGAAACCGCTGCAGAGCGCCATGGCACGGGTTGTAGGCAGTGAGAGAGGTCAAGGAACTATAGGCTTGCCAAGTTCAAGATCCAAAGAGACAGCCCATGGTTAGCCAGGAAGCTTTACCAGGAATTTGAGTTCCATGGAGGGATCATTAAATGGAATTATTTGGGTCTTCTCCTGACTCTAGAAATAAAATAATACAGGATGGATTAGAATGAAATGTATATTTACTCTTAGAAGATATGAGATAGTCTTTCTAGTTTATACTTCTGTACAAATGTGTTATTTTATTAAGCTTTTAATTTGGAGTGCTGGCTCATTGTATAAAACATACATTTTCTTTGTTTCTTTGTAGCAGGGTCTCACCACATAACACAGACTAGCCCCAAACCTGTAATCCTCCTGCCTCAGCCTCCCAAGGACTGAAATTACAGGCATGTGTCACTACCTCTGTTTAAAATACTCATTTCAACTATAACTAAAAAAAAAAAAAATTAGGGCCAGGAGATGGCTCATTGAGCAAAAGTACTTGCCACACAAGCCAATGACCTGAGTTCAATTCCAGCACCAATGGAAGGAAAGAACCAACTCCTGAAAGGTGTCCTCTGACCTGCACATGCGTACCCACAAACACATACACACACACATACACACTCACACACACTCACACTCACACACACACACACACACACACACACACATAATTTAATTTTAAAAATAGAGTTATTAGCAAAATGCCAAAATAAATAAATAATATGCCAGAGCATCTGGAATTCACAGTGTAGACACTGATACCTTTCACTGAGGGCTTTTTGCCCCATTGTAGGAGAAAGTGGATGGGAAAGAACAGAAAGAGGAGATCCGCAGATGATGCTGTTTCACTTTTTGTCTTGGACTGGAACTACCTCTAAAGTGGGCAACAGACCTATAATCAGAAGTCTCCACCCTGCTACCACCTTGGATAGTTATTATCCTTCATAACCCTTGGCTTTCCTTTGTAAATTAGCACCACATATTTTGGAGTGAACACTATTAAATGTCCCTGTATTTGTTTCCCCTTGCTTCTTCCGTAAGTCCCAACTTTGTTCATTCATTCATACACACCCCAGATGACCTAATGAAAACTACTCCATCCCCCACCCTAGGAGTAGATCCTGCCTGGTTATGCCAGCCACTGTATTCCCACTCTTCTGTGCCAGTGATTGGCTCAGTAACCACCCAGTTTCTGTGGGTTATGTCCTATGGGTGGAGTAAGATACTAAACCAGGAGAGACCTTTTCTTCTGCGGATGTGTAAAAGATTTCTCTTATTGTAAGCTAGGTATAATGAGTTTGGTAGCCCCAATTTGCTACTGACATGAGGGAGAGTAGCCTTAGATGGAGCTGATGCCATTGATGACGGGGTGGAAAGAATGGCCTGCGTGCTCCTTAGCCTGCTTAGCAACAGTCCTGAGACTCCTACATTTAGAGCCAAGACCATTGTAACTTACTTTATTGTTTAACGCTGTTTGGATCAGGCTTCCTCTTGCTTGCACCTGACTAAAGGACTGGGCAGCAAGGCCAAGAGGAGGCTCAAACTAGATGATCTACTGGGAAACGTTTTATAAACTATAGGCAAAGCAAATGCATAGTTTCAACTAATTACAAAAAGGGATTTTTAGTAATCATCCTCAAGTGTTGTAAGCTTCACCTTCTCTATATTCACCTCTCTCCTGGCCTCTGAGAAGATATATGAATTCATGTAACATTTAGAGTATGATCAATACTTAATAAATGCAAAATAATGTTGTGTTAACTGTAGCTAGAGGTTTTCCTACCTTGCCCACAGTCAGGACAAATCTTTGTCACCCGATAGTCCCACAGCCGCTCAGACCCAACCAAGTAAACACAGAGACTTATATTGCTTACAAACTGTATGGCTGTGGCAGGCTTCTTGCTAACTGCTCTTATAGCTTAAATTAATCCATTTCCATAAATCTACCTTGCCACGTGGCTCATGGCTTACCGGCATCTTCACATGCTGCTTGTGATGGTGGCGGCTGGCAGTGACTCCTTCTGCCTTCTTGTTCTTTCTTTTCTCCTCTCTGTTAGTCCTGCCTATACTTCCTGCCTAGCCACTGGCAAATCAGTGTTTTATTTATTGACCAATCAGAGCAACACATTTGCCATACAGAACATCCCACAGCAATTAACTAACAAATTGCCACCAGATGTTCTTAAGGCTTTGGAGTCTTCAAGTGAAGCTGATCACATACAGTAATAGTTAAATTATTACATCATCCATCTCTGAGTACCTGTCTCTCTTATGGTTGAAGTCTCATTAGACTACTGCTGCCCTGTTTAAGATTGAGTGCTTAATATGTGGTCCCTAAAGGCAGTCTTGGGAAAGCACCAGCATCCAGCTTGTCCATATATCATCATCATCTTGATTTATTTTGTTCAAAGGACAAAGTTCAACATCCAGAATTGAGATGTCAAAAAATAAAGTTTCTACAAATCACAACAAATGCTGGTGAGGATGTGGGGAAGGAAGAGCCTTTATCCACTGCTAGTGGACTTGTAAACTGGATTATCCATGATGGAAATCCATATGGGGGAATTTCAAAAGACTAAAGACAGAACTACCCTATAACCTAGCTAACTATACCACTCTTCCATAACCTACCATAGAGATAGTTGCACACCGTGTTGACTGATGCTCTATTCATAACAACAAGAAAATAGGATCAACAGATGAATGGATAATCAAAGTGTGGTACAAATATACAAATTTTCAGGTAAATGGATGGAACTAGAAAACATTGTCTTAAGCAAGGCAACCCATACTCAGAAAAGCAAACAATGGATGCTCTCCCTCGTAGGTGGTTCCAACTTCTAGCTGTTAAGTACATCTATCTAGGTTGGAGCAAATGTGCGTACAATCCAGGAAACTGGAGAGGGAGGCATAGGGTAGGAGGGGGGCTTTACTTCAGTGTTGTGGGAGGGCAGAACACGTGCTATGACGATGGAAGGGGGCACTGGGACAGAGTACAGCAGGGGAGGGGGCAAGGAGATGGGAGGAAGGGAAACTGGCCAAGTACGAAAAGGCCAAGGAAACCTTTGTAGGCTAATTAAATGTTTGTAATTTTAAACCAAATGGAGAAATTGTTTTTAATTTTTAAAAAGCAGAAGAGGGCTGTGGGGGTGGGCCCATGGGGTAAAGTGCAAGCATGAGGACC